TAGGTCTCCCTTTATATATGAGGGCACGTTTATCCCTTGTTGCTTTCAGAATTTTCTCTTTATCCTTGTATTTGCCAGTTTCACTATGATATGTCGTGCAGAAGATCGATTCAAGTTACGTCTGAAGGGAGTTCTCTGTGCCTCTTGGATTTCAATGCCTTTTTCCTTCCCCACTTCAGGGAAGTTCTCAGCTATTATTTCTTCAAGTATACCTTCAGCACCTTTCCCTCTCTCTTCCTCCTCTGGGACACCAATTATGCGTATATTATTTCTTTTTAGTGTATCACTTAGTTCTCTAATTTTCCCCTCATACTCCTGGATTTTTTTATCTCTCTTTTTCTCAGCTTCTTCTTTTTCTATAATTTTATCTTCTAGTTCACCTATTCTCTCCTCTGCCTCTTCAATTCGATCCGTGGACGTTTCCATTTTATTTTGCATGTTGTTTAATGCATTTTTCAGCTCCTCTTGACTGTTCCTCAGTACCTTGATCTCTGTAGCAAGAGATTCTCTGCTGTCCTGTATACTGTTTTCAAGCTCAGCTATTAATTTTATGACTATTATTCTAAATTCACTTTCTGTTATATTATTTAAATCCTTTTTGATCAGTTCATTAGCTGTTGCTATTTCCTGGAGATTCTTTTGAGGGGAATTCTTCCGTTTGGTCATTTTGGATAGTCCCTGGAGTGGTGAGGACCTGCAGGGCACTTTCCCTGTGCTGTGATGTATAACTGGAGTTGTGGGCGGGGCCGCAGTCAGACCTGATGTCTGCCCCCAGCCCACCGATGGGGCCACAGTGAGACTGGTGTGTGCCTTCTCTTCCCCTCTCATAGGGGCAGGATTCACTGTGGGGTGGCGTGGCCCATCTGGGCTACTTGCACACTGCCAGGCTTATGGTGCTGGGGATCTGGTGTATTATCTGGGGTGGGTCTGCAAGGTGCACGGGGACAGGAGGGGCAGGCTTAGCTTGCTTCTCCTTAGGTGATCCACTTCAGGAGGGGCCCTGTCGCAGCTGGAGGGAGTCAGACCCGCTGCCAGAGGCATGGCTCCGCAGAAGCACAGCATTGGGTTTGCGTGGAGCAAGCAAGTTCCCTGGCAGGAACTGGTTCCCTTTGGGATTTTGGCTGGGGGATGGGCGAGGGAGATGGCGCCTGCGAGCGCCTTTGTTCCCCGCCAAACTGAGCTCTGTCGTCCTGGGGCTCAGCAACTCTCCCTCCCTTTGTCCTCCAGCCTTCCCGCTTTCTGAGCAGAGCTGTTAACTTATGACCTCCCAGATGCTAAGTCCCGCTCGCTGTCGGAACACACTCTGTCCGGCCCCTCCGCTTTTGCAAGCCAGACTCTGGGGGCTCTGCTTGGCTGGCAGGCTGCCCCTCCACCTCGGCTCCCTCCCGCCAGTCCGTGGAGCGCACATCGCCTCGCCGCCCTTCCTACCCTCTTCCGTGGGCCTCTTGTCTGCGCTTGGCTCCAGAGACTCCGTTCTGCTAATCCTCTGGCGGTTTTCTGGGTTATTTAGACAGGTGTAGTTATTTATTTAGACAGGTGTAGTTATTTAGACAGGTGTAGTATTTTCTGGGTTATTTAGACAGGAATCTAAGTGATCAGCAGGATGCGCGGTGAGCCCAGAGTCCTCCTATGCTGCCATCTTCCCTACTAAAACCTTTTTTAAAGGCTCAAAAAATACATGTATTCTCTGAAAATATGCAAGGGGTATTACTCCCCTCCCCCAAACCCTGGAATAGTTAAGCCACTTAAAGATCAGTTTGCCCATCTGAGGAACTAAGTGCCACTTACTCTAATCTTGTCAGGACATTTAGTGGTTTAATGAATTGATTTGTGAAAGGAAGTTTAATATTCTGTGAGCAAGATGCTGCAAATTGTAAAACAGCCTGCTAAATGGCTACTCACCCAAAACAAGGAACAATTTATGCCAGACATAAAAAATCTGATTGAACTTGCTTTATTACATGTGTACCTCTTGGGCAATGAAAGACTTGTAAAACAATGTTTCTGGGACAATAAACTAGGGGTACCTGTTTGCAATGGTATTGTAAATACAAATGTTTCTATTATTGTGTTGGTGGCCAACAGAGGGACAGATTTGTTTGAAAACAGATTTTGTTTGAAGAGCAAGACTCTGAACATAAGAGTTACTCAGAAAATTCTTCATGAATAAAATTATTCAAATTCTGACCCATATTTACACCATAATATATTGGAAATCTTTCCAAAAGACAAAATAATCTGAAAGGTAATAGGTCACATCTTCCTAGTAGATGACATCACATACCCAAGGAATGCCATGTAAGAATAAGAATGAAAAGGGAGTAAAAGTCAAAAGATTATTGTAACTATATTTGGAGAATATAGGGATGATTCCACAGTGGTTTCTGGACCTCCTACCTGCATCACAGTCACCTTGGGAATGTATGAAAACTGGAGATTCTCAAGGGAGGGAGCTAAACACTGAATTTAACAAGCCTCACAGGTGATCCTAATGCACATCAAAGGTCAGAAATTTTTGGTTTTATAGGGAAGTTTAGTGCTAGTTTTCAAAGGAAAAAATGCGAGATTTTCCTCAACTTCTTTCATCGATTCATTCAATAAACATGTACCAGCACTTGTTATAGACAAGGCATCATACTAGGAGCTGCAAAACACCCAGAACAATTTGGGTGGGAAAGGAAAACACTATGTATGATTTAGGAGCCAATGTTCATTTTCCTTTCTACACTGTTTCAGTACCTTGTTCATTTCCTGTTTTATTCTCTTTGAGCTACAGCCTCATGCCCTGCTTGATATTGCTTCAAAAGCACTTAAGGAGTGGATATAAGACAGCAACACAGAAACCAAGCATGAGGAGAGAGAGTGTTGCAGTGGGGGCAAAGTGCAACTGCTGGCTTTCCTTACTCTCAGAAGATAGCAAGGAAACAAACAGCAGGAAGAAAGTCCATCCAGAAAAAAAAATCTGAACCGTCTTGGCTTGTTAATGTGGAATTCTGACATAAGCCTTAGGTACACCTGCAGGTTTCAGGTGATATTATAAAACCCAAACACTACAAAAATATAACACCAGATTCCATGGTGCAAAGATTACGTGCCATATATTTTCCCTTTCCCTTACAGAGACAGTCTTTCCCCTTCTTAACCTTGATTTGGGCTAAGGGGAACCCCCTTGCTCTCTGTTTTTCTGTTAGTTTACCCAAGGTAAATAGATATGAGAGAGAATAAGAAGCCTGAATATAAACTGAACAAGTTAACAACTGCTAGATAATGCCAAAAATAAGGGTCCAAGGAGCATCCTTGGATAACTAGAAAGTGAATAGAGGAAAAGAAAATGGATAGGAAAAGAAGTTCTCAAAATTCACCCAAAATTGGATTCAAAGTAATAGGACTTGATAGCAAAATTAAAACTGATAATAAGATTCAGAATTTACTGGGTAGGAGATTTTTTCCATGCATGTAAATGGATCCTCAAGAAACCACATACAGTGAAACCCCTTTCAAACATCACTGTGAGCTATTTGAACACAGTTTGCGTGGTTTTAACACCTGAAGTTACCACCCTCTCTTAGCATTTTCCACACATTTTACATTTAAAGTGGTTAGTTCACAGAAAAGCATAGCACACAAGATTTCCCGTATCTTTCCAGGTATTGTTCTTTGTCTACTCTCAACTGATCCCATAAATTCCAAGGCCCTTGTAGTTTTCTAAATCCCTCAAGGTTCCAAAAACAGAACCTGGCAAAAATGCATGTGTCCCTGAATTTTCAGATGTTTCCTCTTCATCAAAGTGGTCCCTGGTAAAAAGCCACTATTCTGGGTTTCAGGCAACATCAGGATATTTTTCCACCAAAAGCCTGTCAACCATTCCAGGTTGTGCAATTTGTGTGTATGCATGTGTAAACAAAATCATATAAGTAACTAATCTGAATCAGAGGTTCCTAGTGAGTCCCAAAGCTGCTGTAGACTAAACGTTTGAACATTAAGTTTTCATCTCACCGGTCTGCCTGTGCATTGGATATTCAGGGCTGACCTAAGACAGAGAGGGTCCCCAGAGTCTTAGCTTTTTGCTATGCTCTGAAAATCAGGCTCACGTTAATCGTTTAACCTGTTCGTAGAATTCCCAGGTATCCAGAGCTAGCCCAGGGGACGTGTAAGGATAAGTCAAGTCATCATTTTTATCAGAATTTTTTAAAAGGAGCTTTGAAATAACAGTCCTAAAACAGAAAATGAAGTATATTTCTGCTGCAAAGTTACTCTAATCATTGCACAAGAAGAGGCGTTTTATTTCCTATTAACCATATAATTTTGAATTCCTTAGCTTTTTTTTTATTCTGTAGGCTAAGATAATATTTGAGATGGATTCCTCCAAACCCCTCAAAAAAAATTCCAAACTATGCTATGACTGGTAATGCTGGGATATTCATTTTGATTAATGATAATTTACAATCATCACTCAAGGTCACAAGCAATTCGGGACCAATATAGATAAAACTGGCATGTTTTCAGGGGTTACTGTGCATCATGAATTAAATTAAATATGAATTGAAGTTGTTTGTTCAACCAGCCAGTTCATTCTTCGAATCCTACTCTTGAAATTCATTGAAAGTTCCACATTAAGGCCTCTCTTCATTTAAAGTGAAGAGCAACAGGAATTTTGATATGAACATGATTGTGAAAGTATATGTTTTCTAATATTAGATTTCAAAATCATCAACTGAAACTACATTTTAATATGATCTCAATTTTTTTTTAATTTGTGTTTATGAATACATTTTGATGTAAAGAAATATGGTAAAATGCCAACAGTGATTATTTGGGGTAATGGAATCACCATCATTTTTTATTTTTTAATGTTTTTCTGAAATTTTCAAATATCTTTGAAGCAGATAGGCATTTATTTTAAAATCCAAAAACAAAGGCATCATTTAAAAATTTAATCTATTTTTCTCTATATATTAAATCAAGCTTAGTTGTTGAAAGAGGCAAGCGAATCAACATACCTTTTGATTAAATGGGCTCGGCTGTTCACATAGTTGGAGTCAAAGGAATAGTTTTCAGTCTGCAATGGGAAAAAAAAGATTAAAAATGTTACATAGATGATTCACGGAAAGAGCCAAACTGTCCTACTTATGAGGAATTTTTCTACTGGATGAGAAGCAATGAATGAATCAGAAACCAAGGCCATAGCTGGGTAACACCCTGAGGAATGCCTGCTGCCTGCTTAGGGCTCTGAGGGCTCTGTAGAAGCAGCCCTCACTTACAGACCAAGATGAACTTTACTCAAACATCCCCTATAATATGGATGGCTACTGACCATGCAACCACTTAGAGGAAGATACAACATGACCTACAATCTTTACAGAAACTAATTGTTTTCCATTCCCAGTGGATATAATTCTGTGCCTATCAAATTGACTGGAAGTTCAAAGGTATTTTTATTAGTAGTACATAATTAACATGTTAAAATATTTATTCCATAGATATGGAAATACAGACAAGCTAATCCCCTACTGTGGATTTAAACTCTGCACTTCCTTTTGTTTTAAGACATTTTGCTCAGCATTAGTTATGCAGGAAGACCTTCGTTTTATCACAGATATAAAGGCAAACAACTATTATGCCTGAAACTGGATGAAGGGCAGTCCACAGGGAGTGCCAAAGCTTTTCATGTGAAACATGAAGCTTGCAAGCAAACCCTGTCTCAGCTCCTATCATTAAAACATCACTTCCTAATATGGTTACAGTAGACTGCCTGAGCAACAGCTTTACAAAAACAAATGCAAAATACCTGCCAGATGAATGAGATGGGAAAACAGTTCATGAGCACCGAAAGGGAGCAGCCTTAGAAGGTGGGAATGCAGGGAAAAGCTGACACTGAAGTAACTGAAAGTTCTAGTACCGTGGATCTTACTCCCAACACTCAAGTATTATTCTGACTGAGCCATCGTATACACTGGAAAATGCATAAACACATCTCCTCCACCCTCCTGCTCTTCTACCAGAAATCATCTCCATCCCCACCATTCCCATCATTCCTTAGGACCTTCTGAAATGACTTCAACTAAAAGTGCCTGGAAAAGGAAACACAATAGCTGTCTAGCTACCAAAATACCAGATTCCTTTCAGATGACTACCTGTCAGACATTAACTGTGCTAGGCTCTTAGACACAGATTTTGGTTGCAAGGAACTGAAAGTTTAGTAGAGGAGAACAGGAAAGGTGATAGTAGATGCAACTACCACATGAGCATCAAACACCCAACAGTTAGGGTAGAGACCCTAAGTATTTAGAGTAGGTGGGGATGGGGGGTGGTAAGTAGGCAGGAAAAAGGAGGAGAGAATATTGAGAAGGAATCTAAATCCCATCATTGTCTTGTACTTACTCAGGCATGCTCATGCCCTCTGCATGCCCCTCATTTGAAGATGGGCTCTATAATATCTATTCACACTACTTTTATGTACAGGCTAAAATCCACTTTAATGTAAACCACAAGTGATTTTTGGTTCTGTTGTAAGGAATGGAGTGGGAGAGTAAAAAATAAAAAGGATCAGTTCATTTCTAATTTGTTCATAAAAATAGAACTACCCTATGAGCCAGCAATTGCACTCCTAGGTATTTATCCAAGGGATACAGGTATACTGTTTTGAAGGGACACATGCACCCCAATGTTTATACCAGAACTATCAACAATAGCCACAGTATGTAAAGAGCCCAAATGTCCATCGATGGATGAATGGATAAAGAAGATGTGGTATATATATACAATGGAGTATTACTCAGCAATCAAAAAGAATGAAATTTTGCCATTTGCAACTACGTGATGGAACTAGAGGGTATTATGCTAAGCGAAATTGGTCAGTCAGAGAAAAACAAATATCATATGATTTCTCTCATATGAGGACTTTAAGACACAGAACAGATGAACACAAGGGAAGGGAAGCAAAAATAATATAAAAACAGGGAGGGGGACAAAACATAAGAGACTCTTAAATATGGAGAACAGAGGGTTACTGGAGGGGTTGTGGGAGGGGGGATGGGCTAAATGGGTAAGGGGCATTAAGGAATCTACTCCTGAAATCATTGTTGCACTATATGCTGACTAATTTGGATGTAAATTAAAGATATAGAATAAAATAAAATGGATGCTGAAATTGTTACAAATATAACTACAGGAAGAAGAGGCAAACTTGAAGCTACATTGGGAATACAATGCTAGAAGTATTGCTGGAAGAGGTTATCCATCAGTCAGTCAACCAACAAGCATTTCTTGAATTAATTTATTATATCAACATAATAAACACACAATATGCTGTGTAAATGTGCTCTTCTATGATATTCAATACATATTCTATTAACAAGTAGAAGTTCCCCACCTGCCAAAAACCATGCTATCCAATTAAAACAGGAAACTGATTAAGTACTCAGGAGTTCAATGTCTAGTTTCACCATGAAACCTTGGGTAAATTACTTCATCGATGCATGCCTCACTTTCCTCCTATGTAAAATAAGGATAATAGAACATTAATCCAAAGGGGAAGTTCAACCGAATTTATCATGACTCATGGTAGACATGGTGGGAAATCCTTTATCCCCTGCTTTCTACAGAACCCACAACCCCAAATAGGATCGAGAATTTGACCTCACTCAGGCAATAAAAGAGTAGCATGAACACATTTCATTTCAGTTTCCAAACTTACTTAAGTCATTTTTTCAAGAAAGTTAATAGACACACAGAAGCAAAAGAAGGAAATTGTGATGATACTGGCTTTGCAAAAAAAAGCATTGAGGAGCATCCCAAGATACTGTCATGTTAAAGAAGCCAGTTCTCAAGTAGAATATTTTGCATAGCTTTGCATATGAGGCATCCAACCTGTGTGCAATGTGCATGGAATATGGAGCTCTTTGGAGACCTGACCTCCAGCCGTTGTGCCAGAACTCTATGTATGGGCAAATAAACAAAACCATACAAATTCTATACCTGGTGACTGTACTACTTCTTGATCCTAATGGAATAATATATCTCACCATGAGAATCCCACTCACAGGCAATGAGTTAAAAGAAGAAATAAGTCTAGAAGGCTTGCTTGTGGAGACTTTATCAGTGCTCTGTCCTTCTCTCTGGGATACAGATTGGTTAACCTGGGCAAACATGACAGGCATGATCTGCCACTGTAGGTAGGAGAGTATCACTGAAGCTTAAATCACCTTCCTATCTTCTTCCTCCCCCCCTTTTTTTTACTCTAAAAGACTAAACCACTCATTTTTGTGGGTCCTAATGTAAATATTCCATTCCCCAAACTGGCACAAACCATAATAGGCAGGTGTCCCATGCTGCACCCCCATGAAATTAGAAGCACTAGTCATAAGGTAGATTCCTAGAACCAATTTTCCCATAGTGGATAGGGCTATGCTGAGTCATCCACTGTCTTTTTGTTTTTATAATCAGTCCCAGGTCTCTGTGAAGCCACTTAATTGGAGTTTGGAAACAACCTATGAAACAGAATTATTCTAATTGACAGGACACACTATTTTGGCCCCATTAATACTACATTCCAAACAACTGAGGTAATTTGCTACCGATAGCCGATTATGAGTCTATGTATATTGACATCAAGTGTTCTTGCTCATAGTGATTCAAGGCATGTACTCAAACCCAACTCCTGTGCATTGAAAGCGTATATTTTTTCCACACTTCAGATGGAGTAAAGAGTGAGACTCAGACCACCCCGAAGAAAGAAATAATCTTTTCTTAATGAATAGCTTGCATGTCTTAAGCCAGTGGTTCTCAGTCCTAATGCATATTAGAATCAACTAGGGAGGGGCGCCTGGGTGGCACAGTCGGTTAAGTGTCCGACTTCAGCCAGGTCACGATCTCGCGGTCCGTGAGTTCGAGCCCCGCGTCAGGCTCTGGGCTGATGGCTCAGAACCTGGAGCCTGTTTCCAATTCTGTGTCTCCCTCTCTCTCTGCCCCTCCCCCGTTCATGCTCTGTCTCTCTCTGTCCCAAAAATAAATAAACGTTGAAAAAAAAATTTAAGGAAAAAAAAAGAATCAACTAGGGAATTTGGGTTTTTTTTTTTTTTTTTTTTTTTTAATACTGTTGCCAAAGTCCCACTCCAAGAGATTCTGAGGTAACTGTCCTGGAGTGGGGCCCAGGCATTGGTATTTGTTTAAAACTTTCCAGGTACTTCTTTTTTTTGGGGGGGGGGTGGTTTCAGTACTTGCCTGAGGATATACATTTTATTTTTTTTTCAATATATGAAGTTTATTGTCAAATTGGTTTCCATACAACACCCAGTGCTCATCCCAAAAGATGGGTATTGCTCATCTCCTCAATACCCATCACCCACCCTCCCCTCCCTCCCACCCCCCCTCCAACCCTCAGTTGGTTCTCAGTTTTTAAGTCTCTTATGCTTTGGCTCTCTTCCACTCTAACCTCTTTTTTTTTTTTTCCTTCCCCTCCCCCATAGGTTTCTGTTAAGTTTCTCAGGATCCTTCTAATGTACATCCAGAGGAGAGAACCGTCCTGAGCAAAGGACCGACGACAGGCTTTGACCCGGTGTGCTGTGTTTTCTAATGCAAGCCCAACTATTTAGAAGATGGCATCCCTTCTGTCAGATTATTTGCCAAGGCCATCTCAATATAGACTAAAGAATTAGAGCAGAAACACACGTTTTAAGAAATGATAAAAGAGCTTTTCTTTTTTGCATGAATGTATTGGCTTCTGGTTAGCCTTATTTAATCAAAATTTGCTTGACATTATTCCAATCCCCTCTCTAAGTATTCTAAATGGCAAATCACATGAAACATTTGAGAGGGGAAATTTTCTCTAAATGTCACATTAATTTCACTAGGAAATGTCCCCATGTCTAATGAGACAGCCAAGTTAACACAGGAACACAGTAAAAAGACAAGAACAACATTTGTTTCTGGAAAACCTAATTTTAACATAAAAAATGGGTCTACAACAAACTTTTATTTCTAGTGTCAATGGAAAATAAAAGTCACTTTCTTATCATTTAACATATTTATCCCAAATCCTTTCCTTAATTAGAAGTGTTT